TAAATTAGTGTTGTTCTGTGTTGCACAGGTTACAAACCGTGAACTCTGCCAACCCTGTGTTTCGCATACAAGTTCAGTTCTTGTACACACCCTTAACAGATCTGTGAAGGAAAAAAAGATTTCCTGCTGTTCTTTTGTGGAAGGATTCTACTTCTATAGAACTTCAGACAAATGAGTATAATAATGAAACACTTTTTTTTAAACAAAGTATACTAAATGAATTATTTTAATTTTATTGTATCTGTTGGCTTTTTTGGTAGAAGCCATTCTAAAAGTAATTGTCCTGAATTCACAACCTACTAGTCAAGAGCGTAGTTGAGTGACAAGACACTTTCTTTTTTCAACATGCAATTAGTCTTTTCTTATTATATGAATTTAATACTCTAATTTTGTGATGTTGGAACATCCTCCCCTCACCTCTCTCCTCTTGCATGCTGTATCAGTATTTTGATTGGTTTGCATGTCAGCAGTTCTTTTATAATTGAGCAGATAGCGGAAAAATTCTCAGCAAAGGAAGTTGATTTAGTAACTACTGGTATGTTTGAGGAGAAACTTCGTTTTTCTCCCTTTTTTTTTTTTTTTTTTTTTTTTTTACCTGTGCTTGGAAATTATCTGAACAATATTGAAATTCAGTGTTAGAGTGGCCAACATGAAATTCTTAATGTTCACATCATTTTACATTATTTTAATCTGAGGAAAAATATTAGCAATTTAACCTTACTGTTTTTTAAGATAAACAGATTTCAAGATTTCTACTCTTTATAAGAGGTTTACACATGAATTGTAGTGGAAACTGACAACTACTTGCTTACAGCGTTAACCTAGAACAAAGAAAATGTGTTTTTTAATAAGTTTGTTGAAATTGTAGTACCTAGGCCTATTAACCTACTTATGGAGCAATATGCCATATACCTTTTACTGGGTAGAATAAAAAAAGGGGAACATTTAGCTTTTTTATGCCTCTATTATACTGGCACCTCAAACAGTGGGATCAAACAAATACTGATAAAATCATGACAGTTTATTACTGGATGAAGAGCATTTACAGTCTGTCATTGCAGTTAATAGTCCATATTTCTCTACTTCTAGTAGTATTCACACTCTTCCTTTGAAAATTTCCAAAAGTAGGCCCATTTCCCTTCAAGTTGGAAAGATTGAATATTTACACCACTAATACAGGCATCCTGTGGATATAGGATGGACCTTACTGAAATTAACCTTTCTAGAATTCTGGCTCATAGAAATAAACAGATTTTTTGGTTGGTCAACACATAGTTAGCTATCTGCTGTGCCCTGGGTCTATAAAAGTGAGCAAAATACTGCTCTTACCTTCTTGGATACCACCTAGAAGGGAGGACAAACAAGCCAGCAGGTTATGACTGCAACGTCCTAAGTGCTGTGAGAGTCCAGGAGCAGCTGTCAAGCTAGTTTGCTGTAGTTTTTATAAATCCAGTTACAACTCACAAAAGTAAAACCTGTTCTACTCCTCTTATGGATGCTTCTTTCCCTTTCTTGGACTAATTATTGGCTGATTGTTTAATTTTCAGTCTGACAGTGGTATCACTTAGTTTTGCAAATCTTTGAATACTCTCATACTCAAGTTGTCCAGATCCTTTCTTTAAAAAACGCGAAGCTACTGATACACAATAAGACACTGTCTATCTGAATAATTGGATGGTGTGAGGTATCTGACTGGATAGTCTTGCTCTCTCTAAACATAATCTATGGAGTGACCATTTTGAATGTACTAATATAGTAAAGTACTCTGGATATTAAAAGTATGATTGATGGGTTTTACCCTACCTTAAGACCACTATCTTAGGATCTTAAACTTACTATTAACATTACTTTTAGTTTAAGTAACTGAAGATGTAGGGGAGGAGTACATTAATACTTAGCCTCAAAAACACTCATAGGTGTTTTTTTCAAATAAGTACCTTATATATAAAACTGTCTCTTTCTGCAGACATAAATGTGTGGAAGACATGCCTTTCTGCTCTCTTGGAGCCTGTCATGCTCTAGAAGATTACATCTGCTAGTAACTGCAGTAAAGTGTTGTACACAAAGTGTGTTAAAGGAGGAGGAAGGGGAGACTCCTAATGTTGTGTGTAATCGGGGAGACGGTTGTTCCTGGGATGGGAATGCTGAGTCACACAAAAGTGACAGCAGTTGAGCTGGGTCAGTAAGGGTAGGTGGGATTTTAAAAGATACCAGGGGAAGCAATTCAAGAAGAGATCCCTGTGATCAAAGACATAGGCAAGCCTCTATCTACTTCTATTATTTCTGGAGAATTAATAAGTCATATTCAGTGCAGACTTACGAGTTCTTGGACATTTTTGTGCCCTTGACTAGTTAAGTCTAAAAAATACCGAAACAGCAAATTGCCCATTTCTACTGAAATACTAAAAATTATTTGCCATGATAGATTATGTGTGGTTTGGGGAGTTCCATAGAACTTGCTAGGGACATTCCTCTCTTTTAAAACAGACATTTATTTGGGGTGTGTCAGGCAGTCAGTATATGTGAAAAGATCAAACAAAAACAGAATCTCCAGCAAAGGAATACTGATCTGCTTCTCCCACTATTATACCTATCAAATTCTATTGTTAACATGATAACAGTGATCATTTATTAGGATTTATGCTATTTCTACGTGACAGTACCTGATTCATTCCTTTCTTGGATATGTATTTTACACTCTTCTTAACCTGTATCACTCAAGCATCACCTTCATCGAAGGCAAGAGAAAATTAAAATTCAAATATTTCTCAGATATTTGTAAGATGAGGTTTTAGTTTGATAGGTTGCCTTTTTGTTGTTTTTTGTTTTGTTGTTTTGTTTTTTGGTGCTTGGAAACTCAATAACCATTTCAATGATGAACCTTGCTGATTTTTTCAATCCTGTAAGGCCCTTTGACCTACAGGTTGTCGATAGCCATATGCTATCTCTAATGGTGATTTTCATGGTATGCTCCTTTTGAGAATCCTCCTCGTCCTGTTGAATGCATGCTTCAGAAGCCACCCGCCCATCTGTGGATTTTCTTGCAGACATGATGAGACCAGCAGCCACTCTTAGGGTGACTCACCGTTTGGAATGAAACACAGTTGGCAAGGTAGCTTTGTTATCTGGATTGCGGGTTTTTGATTGCAGTGTGGCAAAGGTGCAGCAGCTGACCATGAGAATGGGGGAGGGAGGTCATGACCCATAAATCTGTGTAGGCATCCGGAAGATGCAGTGCTTTATTCCTTGGACCTTGAAGAAAAAAGCAGCCCATCAGGAAGTACCATTGAGCACCTTGTTGAAAGAAAACCCCCGTACTTCTACATCCATATTATCGATCATCTATTTCTTTAAAAATGTTGTTATGCTTTAGGTAGTAATAATTACAAGAAATACTGCATATTTTCACACACACACAAACCCTGAGTTACTATCAGAAAGGTTAAGCAGATATTACTATAAATGCTGAACCAGAAATTGCAGTTGTTACTGTATTAAATGTTCTTTAGTAGAAATTTCATCTCTCAAGAATGGTTGCTACAGTGTGTGGTCTGTATGTAGAGAACTGTGTTGTTGAATGTATTCTGTTTTTCAGGAGTTACTCTTAAAGAAGTACCTGTCTTCTATTCATACAATGCATAAGTAGACTGCTACTTATGTTTTCTGTCTTAAGATGGCCTGAGGACCAGATGATAAGCCAAGCATTCGATCTTTCCTACATAAAGGTGGTGAGAACTTTTCGTAAATTTAGTCTGAAACTTATCCTAATCCTAATAATGAAAATTTATTTTATTTTTTGCTGAAATAGTAGTACATTTTAAAAGTTGTGCCTCCCAAGCTCTTTTATGTCATGAGTGCCTTTCCTAAGGGGGAAGAACCTTTATCTCCACACACGTACAACCACTTCTAGGCCTAGCAGCACACCAGAGCTTATGTGTGGGAAGCTCTGTTTTAAATACTTTTTAAAAATTTCCATCCTTTTACTAAGTGTACGTAAGCGCCTGCTCTGTACCAGTCACTATGTTGTAAGATTTAGGCTGAAGACGTAATTTATGTTCTATTTCTCCGTCCGGTTTTGAGTTGGAAGACGTTTCAGTGGTCTTGTTCAGCACACCTTATTTTGCAGATATATGAGCCAGACCCAAAGAAGTTAAGGTTCTCCAAGATTGTTTGCTAGCCTGAGACCTGGCACTTAAACCCAGCACTCCCCACTCTTGGAACTCTGTCCTTCCTACCATCAAAGTACTAAAACACAAGCTGAATTAACTTTAATAAGCTGTGTCCTTTTATGACATCAGAGTTTTGAAATCCTTCAGGGTATGTATGGCATCTAGAATTTGGACATAGGTAAGTGCATATAGTATTTTTTGATGTGCTCAATATCATTTACCTCCCTTAAGAATAATTTCAGTCAATAATAACATAGTGTCAAATGTATAAAGTACAAAAAAATACAAGTCAAAATTTACTCAGTCCTTTCATGGAAAGAAAACATTTTTTAGTACATTTTGTTTCTGCCTCTTTATTTTTAATCCTTTCTACAACATTTTCAAACATTCAGATTTGCTTTTTTCTTTAATAAAGTTTTTTTGCATTTTTAATTGTGTTCTTTATGTATATGGATAATATTTTTTGAGACATAAAATAATACATATCTGATTTTTAAGACATGTCAAAGCTGTTTTCTGTTTTTTGTTATATTGAGTGTTGCTGACATGTCAGGGAGATATAAAAATCAGGAGTTCTGTGTGGTTTCCTGTTACAACTGTATTTCTCCAGGCTTTTTTTGTGTGTGTGAGACGGAGTCTCGCCCTATCGCCCAGGCTGGAGTATAGTGGCACCATCTCTGCTCACTGCAACCTCTGCCTCCCGGGTTCAAGCGATTCTCCTGCCTTAGCCTCCGGAATAGCTGGGATTATAGGCATTTGCCACCACGCCCAGTTTTTTTTTTTTTGTATTTTTAATAGAGACAGGGTTTCACCATGCTGGCCGGGCTGGTCTCAAACTCCTGACCTCATGATCCACCTGCCTCAGCTTCCCAAAGTGCTGGGATTATGGGCCGGAGTCTCCAAGCTTTTAAAAAGGCTAAAGACAGATTAAGTCCAGACACTAAGATCTCTCCAAACCTCAGTTTGGGGTAGTGATGCCTAAATGACTACTTGCCACTGTGTTCGGTGGGCAATTTGGTTGCAAGCATCAGCTATGCAGTAGGGTCATGGATAGGGAGAGAAGTATGAAGCTATTTTTTCTCTTTATGGACAGAGGGCAAGTAGATGTCATAGGGTACTGATAACTACTTCTGTCCTTTCTTTTCTTAGCAAAAGAAAATGCTTCCTTCCCTAATGGGGACAGGAGGAGAGGACGAAGATGAACCCAATTGTGGGTGAGTAATCTTTCCTCCTCCTTCCTGGGTCTGTGATTGCGGTGATGTTCTGTCTTGCAAGGGTCTGGGTAAATACTGGCTCCTTATTGCTTGTGCTCAGAGAAGTAGCTGATGGTAGAAGAGCACTTTTAAAGGAATTGATGAGACTGAAAGCTGCTTGTTAGAGTGCACCTGGATCCTGTCATGACATCACAGGCGGACCATAAACGGCTCTCCAGAAAGCACGACAGCCTTTTTTCACCCCTTTCTTAACAATGAGACGTAGATTGGGCCTGTTCTCTATTCAAGCATCCTTATGAGTAAATGTCTATTTTTATGGTAGAGCTGCACTTTAAAAATAGCTCCAATCAGTGCGACTCTTTTCCCCCATATGTTAAAAAGTTATACATGAGCTAAAATATCTCAGATTGCTTAAATTCTTCCAAACGCAAGGCACATTCCTTTTCCCTTTTTTTTTTTTTTTTTTTTTTTTTTTTTTTTTTTTTACTGTGGGGGAGGGGTTTAGGTGGGTGGGAGGGTCGGATTAACTACAAAATAAGGACTTTCAGGGCCTCCTTAACTCTGTTTGAGACTTTTTAGCAGTAGCAAGATTTTTAAACTAAGATTTGAGATTTCTGACTTTAAAAATTCATTAATATTTGGTGGATACAGTCTCCTTCCTGAAGCGATTGTTTATTTTTGTTGCTGAGAGCAATTAGCTAGAACAGTCACAGTTGCAGCTGTTAGATACTATAAGCTCCAGCGGAGATCACAAAAGGCCTTATGCACATTTAGACTCTGTATTTGGATTGTTGTTAATGGGTGATTCTTCTGGAGTCTACTGTGTTAGCAAATTCGATTGGGCGATCCTGAGCCAAATCAAATGTACAATGGGATCATCAGCATGCTGTGTTGATCAGAGTCACTTAAACACCTTGCTGCTTTGTGCAAGCCAGGATGGCTGTGGCTGCATGTGCAGAAAGAACATGTAGTGTTCCTTTTCCTGAATCCTCCTCATGCAAACCTGGATGTGACTCATCTCAAAACATTATGCTGTTTTCTCAAGAATTTTTCCTTTTGTGTTTACTTCTTGTTTGCTGCTTTTGACTTGTTAGAGCTTTTGTGAGATAATCTGCATGTGCACGCATGAGAAAGAGATTCACAGATACAATCTGGTGCCCATTGATTTATGTCTTTTGGAAAGAGTATCTTCTTAGAGAATCTTGGCTCCAGTTTAATGGCTGACACTTCAGAAACAGCAGCTCAAATGAAGGAGTTGTTTCAGTATTTTTCTAGTGTCTGTACTTCTGCCTATGAATATCCTTTTGGTGAAGGAGTGTATATTTCTGTGCATATCCATAATCATACTGCCTTAGGATTCACAATATGCTTCGTGTGTGAGAATTTTTTATTGGGGAATGGGAATGGGAAATGTTGCCTTGGGATAGGATGTGCCCCGCCTGACAGGGAACGTCCATTTGCGCTCTAATCTTCCTGGGGTACTTTATGTAACTTTCTCTTGGAGCTGCTCTTGCTGCCAGCAGCCTCTTCAGGTCAACTGCTGACTGGCTCCTTCCTCTTTGAAGGAGAATTTCCTCTTTTTCTTAGCGACCCTCCTGTTGCCTGCCTCTTTGGGATCACTAACTGCTTCCTTCTTGGGTGAAGATGTCTTCCTCTTGGGAAGACTGATGCTGCCAGGGGTCTGTTCTCGATGGCTACTAACCAATTTCTCCTTGGAAAAAGATTTCCTTTTATTAGGTTTGGAGAAATAGTTAGATGGATCTTTCATTCCATTCTCCTGAGGAGCCTCCTGGGGCTTTTGCTTTTTCTTCTTTTTGGGTTTTACACTTATCTTTGCATACTCCTCTGGAGTTCTACTGCTATTTTCCAAAGACACGACAGCAAGCACAGCTAGCATTTCTTTTCCCCTTTTAAGCGTTTCTACGCCTGTTTCTCCAGCCTCCTAATAATCTCAGCAGCAGTTTTCTCTACCTGAACCATTTCTGTCTTCATGACATCCGGTTTCTTTCATGGGATCTCGCCAGTCTCATAGAAAGACAGTCTTCAACTTGTTCTTGAAGCGTCTCCCCAAATACGCTCATGAGCACCTCGGCGAAGCAGTTGATTTGCGAGGCAATACTGCAATTGTTTGCCAGGTATCGGGAGATGTGGCCTTTATTCCTAGCAGCTGCTTGGCCAGTGAAGGTGGAGTGGAAGATGAATCCATATTTTGGTGTGTTACCACTTAGCGTCAGGGCTCCGGAGACTTGGTCCCTTTGCTGGGCCCTGGGAAACAATAGGCTTTTTCATACGTTTTCTCCTCTGATTCTCACAACCTGTGAGGCAGAGAATTCTGTATTGTTCCCATTTTACAGAAGTGTACGTAAACTTAAGAGTTGGTAAATAGCAGCAGCTGCTTCCTTTTGTGCACTGTTGCCATTTTGTGGAAATAAGAAAATGCATATTTTGTATATTCTGTAGCTAAAGTAAATTGATGGACTCCCCTACATTTAAAAGGCTGGTAGAGATTGCCCTAATTGTAGGACTAGTTCATAGTGGCTTCATAGTAAGTGGAATCAGGAGCTGTTACTGTGTCTCTTTTTGGGGAAATAATTTGGGAATGTTGGAGGGTTTTGGTAATTGTATTATAAGTGGGAATCTAAAGTGTACATTGAAAGTTTGTTTCCTGCTAACTAGCATAAATTAATTAGAAGTCATTACATTTTGATGAGATTTAGGCACTTATATGAAGATATTTTTAGAGCAGCTTTTCAAATGGCAATTGATTGACCAGATGGCAATCTGTTTGAGTAGCCAGCTTAGATCTGTTACTAAGTCAAGTAGTGTAGTTCTTTAATCACACCTCCCTGCAATAGAAATTTTCATATAATTGGAGAGGTATGAATGCTGGTATATTTTATCTAGTAATTTATCTAGTAATTTTAATAAAACTTTTTCTGTGAATATTTTTATCTCTCTGGATAACGATTTTTAAATAATACTATAGTCTCCTATAGTATTTGTGTTTTGAATTGACCACACACAAGTTTCAGCAAATGCAAGACTTTCTTCCCTTTTTCCTTCTAATGAAGATTAAATAATTGCAATAGTGTGAATCGTTGATGGATTTTTTTTGTTTCTTTGAGACAATTTATATTTTATCTGTTTGGAAACCAAGCCAATATATACTAGGACACCAGAATCAGAATTGAAGTGTGTCTATTAGACAATGTTTTTTCATACTCAGACTTGATTATAAATGTATTTGAAAGCAGTGTGGTAACATCATCTTGAATAAATTAGTTAAGGACCCATCAGAGATACGGAAGTGAGATGAGAAGGGTGTGGAGCTGTGAGTGAGGATGGAGGGGTTGACCAGACCTCTGAGCAGAGGGATCAGTGAGGGCACCTCTGTGTCACGCTCTCCTTTCCCACACAGTGAGCAGGAGCCCTGGGCAAGGAGTGGAGGTAAATCAGGAAGAACTCCATTAGGAAGACTTCTGAATGAAAGTTTGGACAATGCTCCCGAGGTTTTGAAGACTGGGCAGGTGTATTGGGCTCAAAGTAAAACATCAGATCTTAGCTGAATCATGTCTCAACATATATTGAAACACTTATAAAACATTTTATCTTCCACTGTGGCTCTCAAACTTAGGTATGCATGATAACTCACATTTGGAGCTTATTAATAAAGATGCTTCAGACACAACTGGATTCTGATTCAGTGGCTCTAGGGTAAGTCCCAGACAGGTTTTATAACACACAGGGCTTTTTCAGCCAAGTTAGAGACACAGTAGTGGTTGGAGTTAGCTGGAAAGGGTATAGGAAATCTGAGGTGTTCTTACTCTGCTCATTCCTCCTCCTCCTCCTCCTCCTCTGTTGTGTTCTCTTCAGGGTCCAGGAACCCTGTGGTTGTCTGTTTCTATACCAGTTGACACCCAGAAAACTTAAATTTGACTAAGTGATTTGGGTCAAGCACTGTGCTAAGTATTTTCTGTGCATTATCTCACTTAACATTATGAGGGCAATACTCCTAATCCAATTTTACAGAGGAATAAGATGAGACTGAAAGAGGTTTAAAAACTTGTCCAAGGACTACAATTAGCAAATTGTTAAGCTAGATTTGCAACTCATTGTGTGACTTCAAAACTTGCAGTCTTAACACAGTATACAGTAGTGGTCAGTAGTAGGTGGCCTTGATAGAAATATTTGAATTTTACCCTTAAGCGAGGTGGTTTGGTTTTACTGCTGAAAATACATCACTTAGAAAAAAGTCTAGCTGGGCTTTTTGTGTGTGTGAGGGGAAGTCTATAATACATATATAACTTAGCTCATGTTTTAGCTTTCTAGACTGGAAAATTCCTTAGAGTAGTACCTTTCTTGCAGGTCAGCTTGTTGTTTCTTTCCCTCTGTATCCACCTCAGTTCCTTGAGCATAGTGAGCACTCAGAACGGATGTAGGATACATAAAAGGTGAGAGTGAAGTCTGAGGAGTTACTACGTACTCACAGTTAGGGTGTGAGACCTGGCTCATTTTAAAATTTATTTTCTCTATCAGAACATTAGTGCTGATAATATTCGTTGTGGGGTTTTTTGTTTTTGTTTTTTTTTAATATTTTGGATTCGCTTGTTTCGAGGGTATGTCAGGGTTGAAAATAATGCCCAAATTATAAAACAGTGACCCCAGGAAAAGTATGGAAAAGGAATTACTGTGTTTCAAGAGAAAGTGCAAGTGTACACACTCAGTAAACTGCTACGTGTTGTTTCTGTTCTCCTTGGATAAAAACGTCTTCTAAGTGTGAATGTTTCTCATATAAAGTTAGTGATATAAACAGTTAATTATAATGTCTTCTGTCTTGGGCAATATATAAACTCTGTGTGTGTGTGTTGTTTGTGTATCAGTATAAATCAGACAAATGTAAAGAAAAGTTGAAATGTCTGGTGTTCTATTAGGAGACCAGGTGAGTGGTATTTAGTGTACACTTATAAATACAAGACTTCATAACTCTCCTCTTTCGATGG